GTTTACTTAAGTTTTATAGTTGTTAGAGGCTTTAGTTTCCTCTAGTGTCCTTGTTTTTTCTTGCCCTCTCTTGTCTTTGCGTTTTCCTAGAGACCCCTTACATAGTTTGAGCCTTGTGGTTTTTTCTTCTCTAGTCCCATTATTATATATAAGCCCTACTGATGAGGTAGTGAGGTGAAAAGTGGTGAGGAGGAAAAGTGTTCTGTAATCCTCAGACTATGTCTCAGTCTTTTAGTATGCCTGTGTCCCTGGGCTCTGACCTTCCCCAGAGCTCATCAGTTCTCATGCACCTCCTTAGTTGAGACAGGAAGGTTACAGGGATGGAGTTGGGTATTTCACTTTCCCACATGTCTGCGAGGCTTTGATAAAGGAGCTTCCCTTGAGGACAGGCCGTTGTTGCTGAGAACAGACAGTTGGACATATTGAAAAGTTGTTTATTTTGCCCTGAGGTATTTCAAAATTGCTACTTCCCCCCATGTCCCCTTCCTGGAAGCCCAAGGATGTTTTCCTCTAATCTTCACCATGAAAACCTGGTGAGGCTCCTGGAAGGTAAACTCTTAAAAGTCTGCAGACTTCCTAAAACTTGTTTTCCAGGAGTTTTTTTACTTTCACACTAGCCCACATTCACCCATCAGGAATTTGTCAGTCACTATTTAAGTGGTCTTACAAGTTACTGGCTCCAGTGGCTTCTGCTCCCCGTGAGATGTGATTTGCCAGCATCCCAATTTTTGAGGCATTGGTTTCTCCTGTGACCTCAGCTCCAATGGATTTAAGAATTACTGTTTTCAGTTTATTCAGCACTTTTGTCAGAGAATGAGACTTTGAACTTCTAAGAACTTTTTAAAAGAATTTATTTATTTATTTGAAAGAGAGAGAGAGAGGATGAGAGGGGCAGGGGCAGAGGGAGAAGCAAACTCCCTGCTGAGCATGGAGCCCGAAGCAGGACTTGATCCCAGGACCCTGAGATCATGACCTGAGCTGAAGTCAGATGCTTAACTGACTGAACCACCCACTCGCCTCTAACTTCCAAGATCTTTTCATGTTGGAGAAGACTGTATTTTTATTAGCTCCTTGAGCATGCTAAATTTCAGTTTGTAGCTTAAAAACTTTATGACTTCAGAGAAGAGTTAAGATGGTGGAGGAGTAGGGGACTCTAAATTCATCTGGTTCCTGGAATTCAGCTAGATAATTATCAAATCATTTTGAACACCTGTGAAATCAGTTGGAGATCTGAGAAAAGAAATGCTGCAATTCTACAAATAGAAAAGCGACCACTTTTTGGAAGGTAGGAGATGCAGGGACTTTAATCAGGGAAGATATATCAGAGGATAATGTGAGGGGAGGGAGCCTCTTTAAAGGAGGTATTAGGAGGGAAGTGTATAGCAATACAGGCCTTTCTCAAGAAACAAAAGCCTCAAATGCACAATCTAACCTTACACCTAAAGGAGCTGGAGAAAGAACAGCAAATAAATCCTAAATCCAGCAGGAGAAGAGAAATAATAAAGATTAGAGCAGAAATCCAATGATACAGAAATAAAAAAAAATTAGAACAGATCAATGAATCTAGGAGCTGGTTCTTTGACAAAATTAATAAGATCAATAAACCCCTAGTCAGACTTATCAAAAAGAAAAGAGGAAGGACCCTAATAAATAAAATCATGAATGAAAGAAGAGAGATCACAAGTAACACTGAAGAAATACAAACAATTATAAGAACATATTATGAGCAATTATATGCAAACAAATTAGGCAATCTGGAAGAAATGGAGACATTCCTAGAAACATATAGACTACCAAAACTGAAACAGGAAGAAATAGAAAACCTGAACAGACCCATAACCAACAAAGAAATGGAATCAGTAATCAAAAATCTCCCAACAAACAAAAGTCCAGGGCCAGATAGCCTCCCAGTGGAATTCTACCAAACATTTAAAGAAGAACTAATACATGTTCTTCTGAAGCTATTTCAAAAAAATAGAAATGGAAAGAAAACTTCCAAACTCTATGAGGCCAGCATTACCTTGATCCCAAAACCAGACAAAGACCCTACCAAAAAGAATTACAGACCAATATCCCTGATGAGCATGGATGCAAAAATTCTCAACAAAATACTAGCTAATAGTATCCAGTGGGCACATTAAAAGGATTATTTACCACAACAAAGAGGGATTTATTCCTGGGCTGTGAGGGTGGTTCAACATCTGCAAATCAATCAATATGATACACCACATTAATAAAAGAAAGGACAAGAACCATATGATCCTGTCAATAGATGCAGAAGAATCATTTGACAAAATACAGCATCCTTTCTTGATAAAAAACTTTCTGCAGTGTAGGGATAGAAGGTACATACTTCAATATCCTAAAAGCCATCTATGAAAAACCCACGGTGGATATCATCCTCAATGGAGAAAAATCGAGAGCTTTCCCCCTAAAGTCAGGAGCATGATGGGAATGTCCACTCTCACCACTGTTGTTCAACATAGTATAGGAAGTCCTAGCCTCAGCAATCAGACAACAAAAACAAAAATAAAAAGCATCCAAATTGGCAAGGAAGAAGTCAAACTCTCACTCTTTGCCGACAACGTGATACTCTATGTTGAAAACCTAAAAGACTCCACTCCAAAATTGCTAGAACTGATACAGGAATTCAGCAAAGTCACAGGATATAAATCAATGCACAGCAGTTAGTTGCATTTCTATACACTAACAATGAGGCAGAAGAAAGAGAAATCAAGGAATTGGTCCCATTTACAGTTGCACCAAAAACAGTAAGATACCTATGAATAAACCTAACCAAACAGGTAAAATATCTGTACTCTGAAAACTAGAGAACACTTATGAAATAAATTAAGGAAGACACAAAAAATGGAAAAGCATTCCATGCTCATGGATTGGAGGAACACATATTGTTACAATGTCTGTGCTACCCAAAGCAACCTACACATTCAATGCAATCCCTATCAAAATACCATTAGCGTTTCTTCACAGAGCTAGAACAAACAATCCTAAAATTTGTATGGAACCACAAAAGACCCCAAATAGTCAAAGCAATCTTGAAAAGCAAAGCTGGAGGCATCAAATTCTGGACTTCAAGCTGTATTACAAAGCTGTAGTCATCAAGACAGTATGGTACTGGCACAAAAACAGACACACAAATCAATGGAACAGAATAGAGAGCCCAGAAATTGACCCTTAGCTCTATGGCCAACTAATCGTTGACAAAACAGGAAAGGATATCCAATGGAAAGAAGACAGTCTCTTCAACAAATAGTGTTTGGAAAATTGGACACCACATGCAGAAGAATGAAACTGGACCACTTCCTTACACCACACATAAAAATAAACTCAAAATGGATGAAAGACCTAAATATGAGACAGGAATCCATCAAAATTCTAGAAGAGAACACAGGCAGCAACCTCTTTTAACTCAGCTGCAGAATCTTCTTGCTAGACACATCCCCAAAGGCAAGGGAAACATAAGCAAAAATGAACTGATCATAATAAAAATTTTTAAACAATAGAGACCTAAAAAAATGAACTATTGGGACTTCATCAGGATAAAAAGCTTTTGCACAGCAAAGGAAACAGTTAACAAAACTGTTAAGGTGGGGCGCCTGGGTGGCTCAGATGGTTAAGTGTCTGCCTTCGGCTCAGATCATGATCTCAGGGTCCTGGGATCGAGCCCCGCATCGGGCTCCCTGCTTGGTGGGGAGCCTGCTTCTCCCTCTCTCTCTACTCTTCCCCCTGCTTGTGCTCTCTCGCTCTGTCAAATAAATAAATGAAATCTTAAAAAAAAAAAAAAACTAAAAGGCAAAATAGATGTGGTATGTATATATATATATACATATGTATATGTACACACACACAAACACACACACACACACACACTCTGGAATTTTACTCAGCCATGTAAAAGAATGAAATCCTGCCATTTGCAATGTCATGGATGGAACTAGAGGGTATTATGCTAAGTGAAATAAGTCAGAGAAAAACAAATACCATATGATGTCACTTATATGTGGAATTTCAGAAACAAAACAGATAACACAGAGGAAGATAAGGAAAAATAAGATGAAGATTGAGAGGGAGGCAGACCATAAGAGATGCTGAACTCTAGGAAACAAACTGGGGTCTGCCGGAGGGGAGGTGGCATAATTGAGTGATGGGCATTTATGAGGGCACTTGATGTAATGAGCACTGGGTGTTATATGCAGCTGATGAATCCCTAAATTATACCTCTGAAACTAATAAAAAAAAACTTTATGACTTCACTTGACTATCTTATATAAAGTAGCACCATCTACCAATGTTACTGCAATAGGTAATCATTTACAGGTTTTTGCTTTTTGTGTGTTTTTCCTACTGGAATTTTTCTCTCCTGAGAGCAGGAGCTGTTTTGGTCTTGTTCATTAATGTATTAGTAATACCTTATACAATGTATGTCACATAGTATAGGCCCTCAATAAATATTTTTTTAATAAATGGATTGATTAGCAGTGATTAGTTTTAGTAGATGAGGCAGAGGGAAATGTGTAAGGTAAGTCAGTCTCAGGTTTCTGTCTGTACATCTGTGTGGGTTGTGGTAAGGAATGTGGCATGAGGAATACATTTTCAGATATGCTAATGAGTAGTGTTGGGAGTGCCTCAAGGAAACCTAGTATAATGGGTGTCCAGCATGAAGTTCTGGAACTTAGCAGGAAGACATTGATTGGGGCAGACTGTGGCATTATCAACCTCAAGACAGTAGCTGGAATGAAGTGGGACTGGATGAGATGGTTCAGTAGGAGTTTTGTAGACCTACTTTTAAGGTCTCTGCATATATTGCCTTTAAATATTGTTTATTTTTCACAGTTTTATCTTTTCTATGCTTTCACTTTTTCTCCTTTGAGATTAATGTTCTGTCATTTGTTCTTTTCTGGATAATTGATGGACATGCCTGTCCTTTATAAGCAGTAATAATAGACATAAAGGTAGTATTTGTTTTTTTATTTTCATAGGAATTCACAATGGAGAAGGATACCACCATGGCAGTAAAAAACTTATCTTTCAATGTATATAAGGGGCAAATCACTGTTCTTCTGGGACCTAATGGGGCAGGAAAGACTACCACCTTATCAATTCTCACAGGTAAGTTTTCAGGGTCACCCTGATCACAGATACTGTGCATCAAACTCTGAAGCTTCTGTGTACCCTCTTAACATTGACATCATTGTTATTTAAGTTATACACACAGTTGTTGATTAATTCACACTTTTTTTAAAATTTTATTTTATTATGTTATGTTAATCACCATACATTACATCATTAGTTTTTGATGTAGTGTTCCATGATTCATTGTTTGCGTATAACACCCAGTACTCCATTCAATACGTGCCCTCTTTAATACCTATCACCAGGTTAACCCATCCCCTCACCCCCTGCCCCTCTAGAACCCTCAGTTTGCTTCTCAGAGTCCATAGTCAATTCACACTCTTCTTAAAGTACAAATCATTTGTTGTAAAGTTTAAAAATCAGTATTTATTTTTGCATCTCACATGCATCTTCTTCATAATATACTGTTCTCATTGGTGAATGCAAAGACCCTCTTCTTTTTAATTTTTATTCCTTTATTTTCTTTTCTCTTACTTTCCCTTTTATTCCCCTGCCCGCTTCGTAGGAAACCCATTCTAATTCAAGTTACATAGTTTTCATTGTAAAATGTATAATATATATTCTTATGAATGGATTTTTATATTTATTTAAAAAATTTCAATTAACAAAACTAAAAGGCAATGCTACAGAATGGAAGAAGATATTTGGAAATGACATTACAGATAAAGGGCTGGTATCCAAGATCTATAAAGAACTTCTCAAACTCAACACCCAAAAAACAAATAATCCAGTCAAGAAATGGGCAGAAGACATGAACAGACACTTCTCCAAAGACATACAAATGGCCAACAGACACATAAAAAAATGTTCAACATCACTTGCCATCAGGGAAATACAAATCAAAACCACAATGAGATACCACCTTACACCAGTCAGAATGGCTAAAATTAACAAGACAGGGAACAACAAATGTTGGTGAGGATGTGGAGGAAGGGAAACCCTCTTACACTGTTGCTGGGAAAGCAAGTTGGTACAGCCACTCTGGAAAACATTATGGAGGTTCCTCAGAATGCTAAAAATAGAGCTACGCTACGACCCAACAGTTGCACTCCTGGGTATTTACCCCAAAGATACAGATGTAATGAAAAGAAGGGGCACATGCACCCCAATGTTCATAGCAGCAATGTCCACAATAGCCAAACTGTGGGAGGAAGCTGGGATACCCTTCGAAAGATGAATGGATAAAAATGTGGTCCATATATACAATGGAATATTACTCAGCCATCAGAGAGGATGAATATCTACCATTTACATTGACATGGATAGAACTGGAGGGTATTATGCTAAGTGAAATAAGTCAATCAGAGAAACACAATTATCATATGGTTTCACTCATATGTGGAACATAAGGAATAGTGTAGAGGACAATGGGGTAGGGGGAAAACTGGGAAGAAATCAGAGAAGGAGACAAACTATATGAGACTCTTGACTCTGGGAAACAAACTGAGGGTTGCAGAAAGGGAGGTGGGTGGGGATAACTGCCTGATGGGCATTAAGGAGGGCATGTGATGTGATGAGCACTGGGTGTTATACTAAACTGATGAATCATTGAGCATTATATCAAACACCAATGATGTACTATACCTTGGCTAATTGAATTTAAATTAAAAAATTTCAAACATTCATCCAGGATGAAAGATTTTATACCCTTACACCTACCACCTAGATTCTACTATTTTAATATTTTACTGCACTTGTCACATATCTATTGATCCCATTTTTAGGCATCTCAAAATTAATTTTAGATGTTAGTATGCTTTTTACTAAACAATTTGATATGAATATTTTAACTATAATTTTTCTTTTGGTGTAAAATTTTATTATGATGAAACACTTAAATTTTAAGTGTTTATTTGCTGAATTTTGACATGCATACATCTCTGTAATCCAATTGCCTGTTAAGCTGGAGAAATTCACTACAATCCCAGAAAATTCTCACTTTACTCAAGTTATCCATTTGTAAATCATAGCAACCAGTACATTTCAGATGAGGCAATACTTCATTCATATCATCAATGTATACTGATAAGCCAGATATTTGGTTTTTTTTATAAGGATTTAAGGTATATCTATTTATTTATTCATTTATTTATTAATGTTTCAAGTTTTATTTAAATTCCACTTAGGTAACCTATAGTGCAATACTAGATTCAGGAATAGAATTTAATGATTCATTATGTACATAAAACACCCAGTGCTCATCACAGCAAATGACCTCCTAAAAACCCATCACCCATTTAGCACATCCCCAGCCTACCTCCCCTCCAGCTACCCTCAGTTTGTTCTGTATAGTTAAAGAGTCTCTTATGATAGGCTTCCCTCTCTTTTATTTCCCTTCCCATATGTTCATCAGTTTTGTTTCTTAAATTTCACATAAGTGAAATCATTTGGTCAATTTGTTTTTCTCTGACTGACTTATTTCACTTAGCATGGTACACACTAGCTCCATCCTCGTCATTACACATGGCAAAATTTCATTCTTTTTGGTGACAGAATAATATTCTATTGTATATATATGCCACATTTTCTTTACCCATTCATCAGTTGATTGGCATTTGGGCTCTTTCCATAGTTTGGCTATTGCTGATAATGCTGCTATAAACATCAGGGTACATGTATCCCTTTAAATCACTATTTTTGTATCATTTAGGTAAATACCTAGTAGTGCAATTGCTGGGTCGTAAGGTAGTTCTATTTTTAACTTTTTGAGGCACCTCCATATTGTTTTCCAGAGTGTCTGCACCAGTTTGTATTCCCACCAACAGTGTAAAAGGGTTCCCGTTTGTCTGCATCCTCACCAAAATCAGTTGTTTCTTATGTTGTTAATTTTAGCCATTCTGACAGGTGTGAGGTGGTATCTCATCATGGTTTTGATTTGTATTTCCCTGATGGCCAGGTGATGTTGAGCATGTTTTCATGCATCTGTTAGCCATCTGGATGTCTTCTTTGGAAAAGTGTCTATTCACATCTTCTGCCCATTTCTTAACTGGATTATGTTTTTTCGGTTTTGAGTTTGAGAAGTTCTTTATAGATTTTGGATACTAACCCTTTATCAGATATATCGAGAATATTTTTTCCCATTCCAAAGTTTGCCTTTTAGCTTTGTTGATTGTTTCCTTTGCTGTGCAGAAGCTTTTTATCCTAAGGAAGTCCCAGCAGTTGATATTTGCTTTTGTTTCCTTTGTCTCTGGAGACATCTCTAGTAAGTTGCTATGGCTGATGTCAAAGAGGTTGCTGCCTTTGTTCTCCTCTAGGATTTTAATGTTTCCTGTCTCACATTTAGGTCTTTCATCCATTTTGAGTTTATTTTTTGTATGGTGTAAGAAAGTGGTCCATTTCATTCTTCTGCATGTTGCTTTCCAGTTTTCCCAACCCTGTTTGTTATAGAGACTGTCTTTTTTCTGTTGGATATCCTTTCATACTTTGTCGAAGATTAGTTGACCATGCAGTTGTGGGTCCACTTCTGGGTTCTCTATTCTGTTCCATTGATCTGTGTCTGCTTTAGTGCCAGTATCATACTATCTTGATGACTACAGCTTTGTAATACAGCTTGAAGTCTGGAATTTGATGCCTCCAGCTTTTCTTTTCTTTTTTTTTTTTTCCTTTTCTATTTCTTTATTTTTTTATTATGTTAAGTTAGCCACCATACAGTACATCATTAGTTTTTGATGTAGTGTTCAATGATTACGTTGGCTATTTGGGGTCTTTTGTGGTTCCATACAAATTTTTGGATTGTTTGTTCTAGCTCTCTGAGAAATGCTAATGGTGTTTTGATAGGAATTACATTAAATGTGTAGATTGCTTTGGGTAGTATAGACATTTCAACAATATGTGTTCTTTCAATCCATCAGCATAGAATGTTTTTCCATTTCTTTGTGTCCTCTTCAATTTCTTTCATAAGTGTTCTCTAGTTTTCAGAGTAAGATCTTTTACCTATTTGGTTAGGTTTATTCTAGGTATCTTATTGTTTCTGGTGCAGCTGTAAATGGGATCAATTCCTTGATTTCTCTTTCTTCTGCTTCATTATTCATCTATAGAAACTCAACAGATTTCTGTATGTTTATTTTGTATCGTGTGACTTTACTGAATTCCTGTGTCAGTTCTAGCAACTTTTTGGTGGAATCTTTTGGGTTTTCTACATAGAGATCATGTCATCTGTGAATAGTAAAAGTTTGACTTCTTCCTTGCCAGTTTGGATGCCTTGTATTTCGTTTTGTTGTCTGATTGCTGAGGCTAGGACTTCCAGTGCTATGTTAAGTAACAGTGGTGAGAATGGACATCCTTGTCTTGCTCCTGACCACAGAGGAAAAGCTCTCAGTTTTTCCCCATTGAGGATGATATTCACTGTGGATCTTTCATATATGGCTTTTATGATGTTAAGTTCCCTCTATCCCTACTTTGTTCAGGGTTTTTATCAAGAATGGGTGCTATACTTTGTCAAATGCTTTTTTCTGCATCTATTGAGAGGATCTTTTGGTTCTTATCCTTTCTTTTATTAATGCATAATATCATTTTGATTGATTTATCAGTGAATATTGAACCACCCTTGCAGCCCAGGAATAAATCCCACTTGATTATGGTGAATGATTCTTTTAATGAACTGTTGGATTTGATTTGCTAGTATCTTGTTGAGAATTTTTGCATCCATGTTCATCAGGAACATTGGCCTGTAATTCTCCTTTTTAGTGGGATCTTTGTTTGGTGTTGGAATCAAGGTAATGTTATCCTTGTATAATGAGTTTGGAAGTTTTCCTTCCATTTCGATTTTTTGGAACAGTTTGAGAAGAATAGCTGTTAATTCTTCTTTAAATGTTTGGTAGAATTTCCCAGGAAGCCATCTGGCCCTGGACTTTTGTTTGCTGGGAGGGTTTTTTGTTTTGTTTTGTTTTTAAGTTTATTTATAAGCCCGTGTGGGCCTTGAACTCACGACCCTGAGAGCATACTCTACTAACTGAGCTAGCCAGGTGCCTCTGTTGGGAGATTTTTGATTATTGATTCAAATTCTTTTTTTGGTTATAGTCTGTTCAAATTTTCTATTTCTTCCTGTTTCAGTTTTGGTAGTTTATAGGTTTCTAAGATTGTATCCCTTTCTTCCTGGTTGTCCAGTTTGTTGGCATATAATTTTTCATAATATTCTCTTATGATTGTATGTATTTCTCTGCTTTTGCTTGTGATCTCTCCTTTATTATTTGTTATTTTATTCATTTGGGCCCTTTCTCTTTTCTTTTTGATAAGTCTGGCTAGGGGTTTATTGATCTTATTAATTCTTTCAAAGAACCAGCTCCTAGTTCTGCTGGGCTTTTTGTTTGTTTTTTTCTTTTTTTTTTTTTTTAAGATTTCATTTATTTATTTGACGGAGAGAGAGAGAGCAAGCACAAGCAGAGGGGAGAGTGGCAGAGGGAGAAGCAGGCTCCCCACTGAGCAGGGAGCCCGACACGGGGCTCGATCCCAGGACCCTGGGACACAACCCGAGCAGAAGGCAGACACTTAACCGACTGAGCCACCCAGGTGCCTCCCCCACTTTTTTTTTGTTTCTATATCATTTATTTCTGCTCTGATCTTTATTATTTCCCTTCTTCTGCTGGCTTTAGGCTTTATTTTTCTAGCTCCTTTGGGTATAAGGTTAGGTTCTGTATTTGAGATTTTTCTTGCTACTTGAGACCGGCCTGTACTGCTATATACTTCCCTCTTAGGACTGCTCTTGCTGCATCCCAAAGATTTGGAAACATATTTTCATTTGTTTCCATGTATTTTGTTTTTTCTTCTTTAATTTTCGGGTTAACCTATTCAATCTTTAGTAGGATGTTCTTTAACCTCCATATATCTGTGGTCTTTCCACATTTTTTTTCTTGTGGTTGACTTCAGGATTCATAGTGTTGTGGTCTGAAAATATGCATGGTATGATCTCAGTCTTACCTGTTGAGGGTTGATCTGTTACCCAGTATGTGATCTATTCTGGAGAATGCTCCATATGCACTCAAAAAGAATGTGTATTCTGCTGCTTTAAAACGAAATACATCTGTTAAGTCCATCTGGTCTAGTATATCATTCAAAGCCATGTTTCCTGTTCATTTTCTGGTTAGATGATCTGTCCATTGCTGGAAGTGGGGTGCTAAAGTCCCTTGCTTTTATTGTATTATTATCAGCAAGTTTCTTTATGTTTGTTATTAAATGATCGATATGTGTGCTCACAAGTTGGGGGCATAAATATTTACAATTGTTAGATCTTGTTATTGGATAGACCCCTTTATGATAATATAGTGCCCTTCTTCATCTCTTGTTACAGTCTTCGGTTTAAAATCTAGTGTGTCTGACATAAATATAGCTACCCTGGCTTTCTTTTAATATCCATTAGCATGATAAATGGTTCTCTATCCCCTCACTTTATAAAGATTTTATTTATTTATTTGAGAGAGAGAGAGAGAGAGATAGCGAGAGAGAGCATGTGTTGGGGGGGCAAAGGGAGAGGGAGAAGCAGGCTCCCCACTGATCAGGGAGCCCAAAGTGGGTCTCAGTCCCAGGGCCCTGGGACCATGACCCAAGCCGAAGGCATTCACTTAAATGATAGAGCCATCCAGGTGCCCCCCACCCCCTCACTTTCAATCTGCATGTGTATTTAGGTCTAAAATGATTCTCTTGTAGCCAGCATATTGGTGGGTCTTATTATTTTATTCATTCTGATACCCTGTGTCTTTTGATTGGGACATTAAGTCCATTTACATTCAGTGTGATTATTGATAGATATGAATTTAGTGCCATTGTATTACCTGTGGTGTCATCTTTCTTTTTTTTTTAATTTCTTAAATTCTAGTCACTTTTTTTTTTTAGATTTTATTTATTTTTGACACAGAGAGAGAGTGTACAAGCAGGGGGAGCAGCAGTCAGAGGTAGAGGGAGAAGCAGGCTCCCTGCTCAGCAGGGAGCCCGATGTGGGGCTTGATCCCAGGACCCTGGGATCATGACCTGAGCCAAAGGCAGATGCTTAACCGTCTGAGCCACCCAGGTGCCCCTGGAGATTTTTCTGTTCCTTTCTAGTCTTTGTCACATTTGGTCCTTCTTTTCCACTCATGAGTCCCCTTTAATATTTCTTGCAGGGCTGTCTTAATGCTCATCTACTCCTTTAGTTATTGTTTGGGAAACTATCTCTCCTTCTGTCCTGAATTAACAGCCTTCCTGGATAAAATATTCTTGGCTCCATGTTTTTCCCATTCAGCATGTTGAATATATCATGCTACTTTCTTCTGGCTTGCCAAGTTTCTGTGGACAGATCAGCTTCTAACTTTGTCTTCCCTTGTAAGTTAAGGATTTCTTTTCCCTTGCTGCTTTTAGGATTTTTTTTTTCCTTATCTCTGTTTTTTGCGAATTTTACCTCGATGTGTCTTGGTGTTGGCCTGCTTTTGTTGATTTTGATTGGAGTTCTCTGTGCCTCCTGGATTTGGACATCTGTTTCTTTCCCCAGATTAGGGAAGTTTTCAGCTTTAATGTGCTCAAATAAACCCTCTCCCCCTTCCACCCCCTCTTTTTCTGGGATTCCTGTGATATGAATGTTATTACACTTTATGGAGTTGCTGAATTCCCTAAGTATATATTCATGATCCCGTATTTTTTTCCCTCTTCTTTTCAGCATTATATTCCATAATTTTGTCTTCTGTATCACTTATTCATTACTCTGTTTCTTGCATTCTTGTGATCATTATATCCAGTTGGTTTTGCATCTCAGTTATAGCAGTTTTTATTTTGGCCTGACTAGTTTTAGGTCTTTTATCTCTGCCCTAAGGGACTCCCTGGGTCTACTATGCTTTTCTTAAGCCCAGGTAGTATCCTTATGCTTGTTTTTAAATTCTAGATCAGGCATATTCTCATATCTGTTTTGATTATATCCCTGGCTGTGACCTTTTCTTGTTCTTTCTTTTGGGATTAATTCCTCCACCCTGGCATTTTGTCTAGGTCTCTGTCTTCTTCTGTGTGTTAGGAAAGCCTCTTATGTTTTCCACTCCTGAGAGTAATGGCTCTGAGAGGTCATATATTGTCCAGGGCCTGGTGCTTCAGGAAATGTTTCTGGTGTATGTTGTGTGCACTCTACTGCTGTGTTTTGGCTGTGTTAACTGTTCATAGCCTCAGTCATCTTATCCCATTTTATTGTATCAGGGAGTTCCTGTATAATTTTCTTGAAATGGATGTGTTGGTGACATTGTGTCAGAAAACACTGGTACTGTTCCTCTTTCAGACACCATGCATTAAAGTGTGATAACTCTATTTATTGTACATGTTTCTCACCTACCACTAGACAAAATAATGCCAGAAGTCAGATATACAAAGTTAGGGGCATTCCAACCCAGTCTCTGCCCCATCTTATGTTAATATCATTAATAATGACACTTTGTTAAAAATGAAAAATCTGGGACAAATGTTAAATGGATTAGAGGGCCTAGCAACAAGAGTAAAGGAGAACGTTTAATTACCCTAAATGTAATGGACAATCTTGAATACATTTTTCCTTTTCAGAGTGTTTTTAAAATTTTTTTACATTATTATTATTTGTTCAGAGCATCGTGGGGGAGGGGCAGAGGGAGAAAGAGAATCTCAAGCAAACTGTGGGCTGGGCTCAGGGCCCCACATGGGGCTCAGTCTCACAATCCTGAGATCATGACCTGAGCTGAAATCAAGAGTTGGATGCTTAACTGACAGAGCCACCCAGGTGCCCCTCAGAGTGTACTTTTTAAAGTGGAATTATTTTTTTAAAGATTTATTTTATTTATTTTAGAGAGAGAGAATGCAGCGGGGTTGGGGGGGAGATAGAAACACAAGCAGACTCCACGCTGAGCAGGGATCCCAACACAGGGCTTGATCCCATGTCCCTGAGAGCAGATCTGAGCCAAAACCAAGAGTCCAACGCTCAACCAACTGCACACCCAAGTGCCATTAAAGTAGAATTATTGAGTTGTGGAACTTAAGAAGTTTTGTAACTATATCTAGTATGTTATCAACTGTTTCACCGGGAAACTGGCCCAGTTGCCATCTATGCATAAATGTTATGCAAACATTTTTAGACTATTACATGTGATTACGTTTTATCTTCCAACAAAATTTTGACTTCTAGAGGGTAGGGGTTCCACATTCTGAATTTTTCATTAAAAAAAAAATCAACCACAGTGTTCATAATGCTGTGCTCAGATCATAGTATGGCTCACATATGTTGTCAAATGGCAGACAGCAGTACTAGAATATTGGAACAACAAATTCTTCAAAGCATTTTATATTACTCAGGTAATTAATATTATTTTGTACTCATTGAAAACTAGAATATATGGATAAGCAAAAAATAAAGGAAAAATTATTTCTTTCTCCATCACCAGACCATTTATATTTACCAGACTATTACTTCTATAGAAGACTCTGATAACTTCTTTTAGTAATCCTTACATAGACTGAAGTTTAGGTGCTAATGGACAGTGTGTTGTCAGGTTCTCTCACAGAGGCTAAGCTTCTGTCATGTCTTCTGCTTAATTCCAGGTTTGACTCTTCCTACAAGTGGAAAGGTGTATATTAGTGGATATGATATCTCAAAAGACATGGTTCACATCAGGAATAACTTGGGCTTTTGCCCCCAGGATGACATATTGTTTTCAGAATTGACAGTATCAGAACATCTCTATTTCTACTGTGTGGTGAGTGGGAGAGATGTTCTTTTCCTCCACTCTTCATATGCTTCAGGCAATGTGACCAAGGATCAACATCCTTAGCCTAATTTAGTGGAAGGTTTTTTGGCATTGTTCTTTTAAAACCATAAAGGAAGGCAAAAGGAAGAAGAATTGTCTTGTATATAGATAAATGTGTAAAAGAAGTTCTGATGTAAGAATTTTTTTAAGTATAAAGTTGGAAGCACCATGTAAACACTGGCCCTATCCTTCTAGATAAAAGGAGTACCTCCAGAGATACGTCTCACAGAAGCTAATAAAATGCTGACTTCTTTTGGCCTGCTGGAAAAGCATGATGCACTTGCAAAGTCACTGAGTGGAGGAATGAAGCGCAAACTCTCCATCATTATAGCACTTATAGGAGGTTCCAAGGTAAAGAATGGTTAACATGAGTCCCTGCTCCAGCTGATAAGTGAAACTCACCTGACACAAACCTAAGAGCTGATATGAATTTAACTTTCTAAAAGGAACTTCCAAAATGATAATCAGAGGGGATTCCCATTATTGACTAGGTGGTGTAATATGGTTATGGGGTTTAAAATTACTATTAATTTTGCAGAGTTCTTAATATAATGTAGTGTAAATTATGTATCTTAACTTAAATATGCCCCCCATAAATCGTAAGTTATCCCATAAGGGACACAGCATGGATCATGGAATTGTTCTTCTGGTCTTTAGGTGGTGATACTTGATGAGCCAACATCTGGCATGGACCCAGTCTCAAGGAGATTCACCTGGAATGTCCTTCAGCAGTATAAACATGATCGTACCATCTTACTGACCACCCACCACATGGATGAAGCTGATGTCCTGGGTGACCGTATAGCCATCATGGTCAAGGGATCCCTGCAGTGTTGTGGCTCTTCAATTTTCCTGAAAAGAATATATGGTCTCTCCTTTTGATCATTGTTTGGATGCTAATGGCTTAATAATATTATTTTAACATGATTATTATTTGTGTCACTCTACACAGGTCTTCAAAGCTTCCTGTGTCCTATTATGTTAGATCTAAACTATTGAAATCAACTCTTTGTAATTTAGACAGTTCCTGTCTATTTAATTACTTCTGATTATTACTTAATAAGTATATTTTACCTTGGAAAATATTCTTTGTTGACCCCACAAAAGTCATGTTTATTTCTTTCATGTAGCTTCTACTGAAGTGTTAAACTTGTTGCAGGAGTAAAGTAATGCTTCTGAGGGATTTGGTACATAGATTCATGGCTTGGAGAGGAGAAAAATCAGTGACTAGAAATTTCTGACCGTTTTCAATCAAATCAGTATCAAACTTCTAGTGTAATGAGTTAAATGCTTTCAAGTTTATTTTCATGAATATTCCTGAGATGTGGCACTTGATCAACAAGAATTTATTGAACAGAAAATGACCAAACTGTGGAATAAAATTGTCTTGACTTTGATAAATACATAGTCTGGTTAGTCAGTAAAACTGGTACATTGAAAATGAACAATACAAAAACCTATATAATTGGTTCTGAAATTAACATGCCTCAAAGCAGTGAGTGCTTCAAAATTGGGAGGAGACAAATTAATGAGAATAGTTAAACATGATACCATTCCATTAATCATGAATTCAGTATTTGAATTCATTCACCCAACTCACATTTATTATGGTGAGTTATTCATGTCTACACACATAATCTCATCTAATCTTTATGACATCACCATTTTTATGAAGCAGAACACTGGGGCTCATATTAAGTAATGTATTCAAACCATGTGAGTAAATGGACCTGGGTCCCTCTGACACCACGGCCCATGCTTTGCATTCTCATATGCTACCACTTCCCCATCAAAGAGGATGTTGGGTTTTAAATAGTCAATTTGGTGAATGTCAGAAAGAGAGGGACTCATATTGTTGAATGCTTTTGCACTTACATATGAGGATATAGAAATTGATATTTCCATAGTAGGTTAGTTGTAGACACAAAAGTATTACTCAAATATATTGATTATCCATAGTGTGTCTTCAGTTGTAGGCTTTATAAAGGCAATGGAGAAAAGAACACAGTTTTTAAAGAAATTGGATAAGTAAGTAAGAGCAAGAGGATAAAAATGGGCCTTTTTTACCCCTGGAACAATGAGGAAGTCAGCCTGGATCAGAAGGTTTTTTGGGAGGATCAATAAGAAATTAAATTTGATGGTCAGGGGTAGAAAATGGAAGGGCACTAAAAAAAACAAGAGTGGTTTTCATTAGATGTACAGATGTACATATAGGAAGAAGTTAGAAATAGTGGATTCAAAGCCTCCATTCTAGTATATAACAGAAACCACCTTAAAGTGATGAATGATAAAATAAGAGCAACAAGACCAGAAAGATAAGTACATGTGTATACTTATACACAGATGTGTGCACAAACATGCACATGAACATGTGCATGTGTATAAAATCCTGAACAGATCAGGCAGACTTGGCGTTGGAAGTCCACACAGCCTGTTTTTGTATGACAAAGTAAAGACTTCCTAGTACAGTGAGGTGAAATTTTACAGTTTTCATTCATTAATATAGTGAAGTAAAAGTTTCCACTTTTGACATGTCTGAAATGTGGTGAGTAAGCATTAAGTATTTAAAGAATGATGGAAGGAAGACAATCCAAAAAAGATATAAAAAATTAAAACTTTAACAAGTTTAAATTCTGGTCAGAATATGAAACCTATACATCGAAAGGTTAAAGAGTCAGGAACTGACTAAGAGGAATGACTTGAAGGTAATTTGAAATCCATTTGCTCCTAAGCACAAACATGATTCCTCTTATCAAATTTAAAAATCAGGTCACATTTTCCCTTTGTAGTCTCCATTGTTTTTGTCATTAATCACTGAAGAAAAGAGTATTTGTTTTCTTGTGTATTTGTTATATGGGAAATATATTTTTCCTTAGTTTAAATAAGAAAATGTCAGAATGGAAGCTATAATAAATAACACTGAGAAACTAAAAAAAAATGAAACTTTTAACAGGCAAGAGACTGTTGTTAGGGGGAGGGAGTGTTTAATTTGGAAGGTTACATTTTTAAAATTTTGATTTTTAAATGGATGTTTTCAGGTGTGGGATACCACATAATTATGGTGAAGGAGCCTCATTGTAATGTTGAAGAAATTATTCGAGTGGTTGATCAACATGTACCTGAAGCCAGATTGGAGAACAATGTTGCAGCTGAATTATCATTTATCCTACCCAAAGAATACACACACAGGTATGGATCCAGAGAATGTTAGATAAATGGTTTTTGGTTACCAGAAATAACTATTATTTTTCCAGGTTTCCTTGGGCTTGGCAAGTAGATTCTTTCTGGTTGCCACTTGACAAATTATAGTCAAAAATTTACCTTCCAAGGCAGCCAGTGAGAGAGACTGTTACTAGTCTGCGGCTCTGGTGTGCTTTAGGCCTTGAAGCCCTGGAGGTTTCAGCATTGTGAGCTCAGTCGGGGCAGGGTATGACCTGTCAGCCTCTACATTCTGGCCTGATGGAAGAGTTTTTCAAGTTGTATATGCTATGAAGGCTGTGGAAAATAGTAGTACAGCTATTGGAATCAGATGTAAAGATGGCATTGTCTTTGGGGTAGAAAAACTAGTCCTTTCTAAGCTTTACAAAGAGGGTTCCAACAAATGACTTTTTAATGTTGATTGGCTTTTGGAATGGCACTAGTAGGTTTGTTGGCAGATGCTCGTTCTTTAGCAGACGTTGCAAAAGAAGCTTCCAACTTTTTCCATTAAAATGTCTTGCAGACAGAGTGGCCATGTATATACATGCATATACACTGTACAGTGCTGTTAGACCTTTGGGCTCTGGCTTCATGTTAGGGTCTTACAGTGTGACAGTGCACAGCTTTACATCAGGGTTTCATATGGCAATTGGGGCTGAGCCATTGGCAAAGCCAGGCAAACTGCAAAACACAGAAACTAAGGGAAGAGGAAATTTATCATAAACTTCCAGGGACTGTGCCAACTTCATCTTCTTGCAAGATGTAATTACTAGCTTCATATTCCCTTAAAGCAAGCTTGTTGGCATTCTCAAAAGAAGATAAATGGAGGGGAACTTCTTCAACTGGGTAAGGAATATCTACAAAAAGCCTATAGCTAACATCATACTCAGTGGTGAGAAACTCTGAATTTCCCATTAATATCAGGAACATAGGAAGGAAGTCCCTTCTCACCACAGCTTTCCAACATTATGCTGAAAGTCCCAGCTAATGTAATAAGAAAAGACAAGGAAATGTATGTAGATTGGGAAGGAAGAAATAAATCTTTGTTTACAGATGACACAATCATCTTATACAAAATGTCTGAAAGAATTGACAAAAAAACGCTCCTGGAATTAATAAGTGATTATAGCAAAGATGCAGTATCCAAAGTTAATATGCAAAAGTAAATCACTTTCCTATATATTGTCAATGAACAAATGTATTTCGAAATTATAAACACACTTCTAAAATTTAACACCTCCAAAAATGAAATGCTTAGGTATTAAGTCTACCAAATATATGCAAGTTCTATATGAGAAAAACTACCAAAGTTGGATGAATGAAATAGAAAAACTAAAAAATGAGATAATTTATGTTTATGAATAGGAAGACTCAGTATTGTCAGGTGTCAGTTTTTCCCAACTTGCTCTATAGATTCAATGCAATCCTTTTTTTTTTTTTTTTATTCAAATAGGCTCCATGCCCAGCATGGGGCTCAAACTCACAGTCCTGAGATCAAATCCTGAGCTGAGATCAAGAGTCAGACCCTCAACCAACTGAGCCACCCAGGCACTCCTTGATTCAATGCAATCCTAATCTAATTCCCAATAAGTTACTTGATGGATATCAACAAATTGATTCTAAAGTTTATATGGAGAGGCAAAAGACCCAAAATAGGCAACACAGTATTGAAGGAGAACAATGTTGGAGGACTGACACTAACCAATTTCAAGACTTGCTGTAAATCTTCCATAATCATGACAGTGTGATATTAGTGAAAGAATAGAAAAATAGATCAATGGAACAGAACAGCATGTCCAGAAATTGACCAACATAAATATAGTCAAAGGTCAATTTGACTATAATATAAGATCAAAGGTTTGATCTTTGTCAAAGGAGCAAAGGCAATACAATGGAGAAAAGATAGTCTCTTCAACAAATGGTGCTAGAACATCCATACACAAAAAAATCTAGACACATATCTTACACCCTTCACAAAAATTAACTCAAAATGGATCATAGGTCTAAATGTAAAATGAAAAACTATAAAACGGCTAGAAGATAATCTAGGAGAAAACATAGATGCCCTTCGGTATGGCAGTGAGTTTTTAGATACAGCACCAACAGCATGATCTCTGAAACAAATCATTGAAAAGCTAGACTTTATTAAAATGAAAAACTTGCTCTGTGATAGGCATCCACAGAATTAGAAGACAAGCCACAGATTGGGAAAAATATTTGCAGAAGACATATCTGATAAAGGGCTGTTATCCAAAATATTCAAAGAACTCTTAGAACACAACAATAAGAAAACATGCAACCCAACTTAAAAATGGGCCAAAGACTTTCTTAAAAAGATTTATTTATTTTAGAGAGAGAGAGAAAAAGAGAGCATGCAGGGGAGAGGGGCAGCAGGAGAGGTAGACAGAGAATCCCAAGCAGACTATGCACTGAGTCCAGAGCCCAACACAGGGCTCAATCTCATGACCCATGAGATCACAACCTGAGCCAAAACCAAGAGTCTGATGCTTAACTGACTGAGCCCTAAAAATGGGCCAAAGACTTTAACAGACACCTCACCAAAGAAGACATAGGGGTGGCAGATAATTAATGAAAAGATGTTCACCTTATATCAGGTAAATGCAAATTAAAACAATTATTAGATACCACTACACACTGATTAGAACAGCCAAAATCTGGAACACTGACAACACCAAATACTGACGAGGATGTGGATTCAACAAGGACTCATTTATTGCTTGGCAGAATGTAAAATGGCACAACCACTTTGGAAGACAATTTGGTGGTTTTCTACAAAACTAAACATACCCTTACCATTTGATTCAGCAATCACATGCCTTGGTATGTATCCAAAGTAGGTAAAAACTTACATACAAAAACCTGCACATGGATATTTATAGCAGCTTTATTCATAATTGCCAAGATTTGGAAGCAAACAAGATGTCCTCAGTATGTGAGTGGATAAACTATGGTTCATCCTAACAATGGAATATTATTCAGCATTTCACAGAAATGAGCTATCAAACTGTGAGGAGACATGGAGAAACCTTAAATGCATATTATTAAGTGAAAGAAGCCAATCTGAAAAGGCTACATACTAGATGATTTCAACTATATGACATTCTGAAAAAGGCAAAACTAGGGAAACAATGAAAAGATCAGTGGTTGCCAAGGGTGTAGGTGGGGTGAGATAAATAGGCACAGATATTTAGGGCAGTGAAAAAACTCTGTCATAAAATGATAGATATATGCCATTATACATTTGTCCAAACGATTGAATATATAGCACCAAGAGTAAACCTTTGAGTAAACAGTGGATGTTAGGTGATTATGATATGTCAACGAAGGCTCATTTTTGGTGAAAAAAAATGTAACATTCTGGTGAGTGATAGTGATAGTGGGGGTGGCTATGTATGTCGGAGCAGGGGTTATATGGTAAATCTCTGTACCTTTCAATTTTATTGTAAACCTAAAACTACTTTAAAGAAACAAATGACTAAAGAAAAAATTAAGAATTTGATTAGATCTCTAGCAAGTAGAGATTGAATTAGGAATCAGAATCTTTCACAGTGAAAATACCAGGGTCAGGTGGCTTCGGTGGTGAGTCTACCAAATGTTTAGGTAAAAATGAATAGTCTTTCACAAACTATTCCAAAATAGAAGAGGGAACCCAATTCCATTCTATGAGGCCAGTATAGCCATGTAATAAGACTAGACAAAGAAGAGAAAACTATAGAATATCACTTTTAGAATATTGAGGCAAAAAAACAAAAAACAAAACAAAAAAACCAAAAACCTAACTCAACCCAAACACAAAATACTAGCAAAACCAATCCACAAGCACTTAAAAAGGATTATACACCTTGACCTAGGCAGATTTGTCTCAGGAATACAAGGTTGGTTCACATGCAAAAATTATCAGTGTAAAACACCATATTAATAGAATAAAGGACAACAATTACATGATTATCTCAAAAAATAAATCTATACTCATTCATAATAAAAGCACTCAACAAATTAGGAATAGAAGGCAAGTTTCTCAGCTTGCTAAAAGGCATCTGTGAAAAACCCACAGCTAGCATCATATTTATGGTGAAAGGATAAAAGCTTTCCCTATAAGATAAGGAACAAGCTAAGACATCTGTTTTGCCATTTGTATTAAACATCGTATCAGAAGACAATTCAAGAAGAAAAATAAAAGGAATACAAATTAGAAAGAAAGGAGTGAAACTATCTATATTCATAGATAACATGTTCGTGTATATAGAAAATTATAAAGAGCCAACTTTAAAAATGTATTAGGACTAATTCAGTGAAGTTGCAAGGTATAAATGTAATATTAAAGAATTACTTATATTCTCTATATGCTTTCAATGAGCAATCCAAAAATGAAATTAAAGTAATTCCATTTACAGTACCATAGAAACAATAAAATAGCAAAAATTTAACAAAAGAACTATATGACATATAACTTTTTGAAAACTATAAAAAAAATCATTGAAAGAATTAAAGAAGACCCAAGGAAATGGAAAGACATCCTGTATTCATGGATTAATATTAAGATGGCATACTCCCTACAGAATCAACACAATGCCTATAAAAAATTCCAACTGCCTTTTTTTTTCTTTTGCAGAAATTGACAGGCTGATCCTAAAATTAATATGGAATGGAAGGGTTGCTAAATAACCAAAACAATTCTTGAAAAAGAGGAAAGTTGGAGGATTCATATTTCCTGATTTCAAAACTTACTATAAAACTATAGAAATCAAACTATGTGGTACTAGAATAAGGATAGACATGCACAGAAATGAAGTAAATCAGAATTCAAGATTAAGCTTTTATATAAAATTGATTTTCTGAAGCATTCAGAAACAATTCAGCTGGGGAAAGAATAGTCTTTTTAGCAAATGATTCTGGGATTTGGTATTTGGTATTCACATGCAAAACAATGAAGCTGGATCCTTAATCTCACACCATAGACAAAAAATTAA